TTTAGATATAGCTCCCATATATATCTTCATCCGATTTAAGGTAAATTGTGTACCAAAGTCCCTATATATCTTTCGATTTGCACGAAATTTGGCGCAGCGTAATGAATAAGGTCTAGACTGATGTATGCCAAGTTTCGTGAAAATCGGTTCAGATTTAGATATAGCTCCCATATATATCTTCGTCCGATTTAAGGTAAATGGTGTACCAAAGTCCCTATATACCTTTCGATTTGCACGAAAATTGGCACAGCGTAATGAATTAGGTCTAAAATGATGTGTGTAAAATTTCATAAAAATCGGTTCAGATTTAGATATAGCTCCCATATATATCTTCGTCCGATTTAAGGTAAATTGTGTACCAAAGCCCCTATATATCTTTCGATTTGCACGAAATTTGGCACAGCGTAATGAATAAGGTCTAGAATGATGTATGCCAAGTTTCGTGAAAATCGGTTCAGATTTAGATATAGCTCCCATATATATCATCGTCCTATTTAAGGTAAATTGTGTACCAAAGTCCCTATATATCTTTCGATTTGCACGAAATTTGGCACAGCGTAATGAATAAGGTCTAGAATGATGTATGCCAAGTTTCGTGAAAATCAGTTCAGATTTAGATATAGCTCCCATATATATCTTCGTCCGATTTAAGGTAAATTGTGTACAAAAGTCCCTATATAACTTTCGATTTGCACGAAATTTGGCACAGCGTAATGAATGAGGTCTAGAATGATGTATGCTAAGTTTCGTGAAAATCGGTTCAGATTCAGATATAGCTTCCATATATATTTTCGTCCGATTTAAGGTAAATTGTGTACAAAAGTCCCTATATATCTTTCGATTTGCACGAAATTTGGCATAGCGTACTAAATTAAGTTTAGAATGATGTGTGCAAAGTTTAGTGGCAATCAGTACAAATTTAGATTTAGCTCCCATATATAGCTTCGCCCGATTTTAGGTAAATAGTCCACTAAAGTCCCTGGAAATCTTTTGGTATAGCGTACTGAATTAAGTCTAGAATGATGTGTGCACAGTTTCGTGACAATCGGTCCAGATTTAGATATAGCTCCCATATATATTTTCATCCGATTTAAGGTAATTGGTGTACCAAAGACCCTATATATCTTTCGATTTGCACGAAATTGGGGATAGCGTACTGACATTTGAGTCTGTAATAATTTGTGCTAAGTTTCATGAAAATCGGTTCGGATTTAGATATAGCTCCCATATATATTTTCTCCCGATTGTAGGTAATTGGTGCACCAAAGTCCCTGGAAATCTTTTCATTTGCACGAATTTTGGCATAGCGTACTGAATTAAGTCTAGAATGAGGTTGCAAAGTTTCGTGAAAATCGGTTCAGATTTAGATATAGCTCCCATATATATTTTCGTCCGATTTTATGTAATTGGTGCACCAAAGTCCCTATATATCTTTCGATTTGCACGAATTTTGGTATAGGGTACGTTGGTCAGCTAAGTACTTCGCGTTGTTACAAGAGACATTTGGGTTTGAAAGGTTTTTTGTATAGAAGCAATAGCCTCTGGGGAGAATATCCCAACAAAAAACTAAGGGAACTGATGAGGATCAGTGGCGTGATCCGAAACTATAGTCTTCCCTGCCTTACCCCTCGGCAATCAATGCCATACATTCCTCACTAATAAATAGTTCTTTTTTGTAAAAACAAAATACAAATGGTATCCCAAATAAACCGCCAACACTACTGAAGTACTGAATTAAGTCTAAAATGATGTTGCTAAGCTGGATACATATGTAGAATATACCCAAAGTGGTGAAGGGTATTATATAGTCGGCCCTGCCCGACTTTACTACTTTCCTTACTGGTTTTTCTTGAGGCTTTTGGGCACGTTATTCAGTTGTAATTTGATATTTTGGGTAGAAAATCTTCCCACAAAACCTATTTTAATATTGATCCACTCTTTAGGATGGCCTGCAACGAGCGGTACCCCCGATATTCGGTATTTTGAAATGTTTTTGGGCACATTTTTTAATAGAATTGATACTTATTTGATATTCTCAAGTAGCAAGCAAAATCTCCACCTACTTCCACTCGTTTCTCAGCAGAATGGGCGGAACTTTGAAATATCTCCCTGCTAAAAATTATCAAAATTGGTTTACTTTTTATAGTAGCCCAGCCCCCAATATAACACTGCTTCGCAAATTTTGATATTTTAGGGAGTGTGAGTTGGAGTTTCTACCAAATTGCCGGTAATTTTATATTTTGAATGATCTTTGAGTAGAAAATCTTCCTACCAAAAATTCTCAATATTGTCGGAAGTTTCCGGGTAGCCCCCATACAATGGTACCTACATTGTTCGGTGTTTTGGCCGGGTGATTGGACACGATTTTCCATCCAATTGACTGCAATTGGATTTTTTAGCTTCTCAGGGGGTGTCACATCTCACTACCGACAATTTGAAATGTTGGTTTAAGTGTTGGTCCTGTCCATTATACGGTATTTTGAGGACTTGGGCTGCATTTTCACATCGCTGTGGCTGTAATTTGATACCAAAAGGTTCTTGAAGGTCTATAATTTGACATGGCCCCACATATACTGGTAGATCTCAATTTTTCGTATTTTTGAAGATTTGAAATGTATTTTTTGCATCGAAGTGGCAATAATTTGCCATTGGAGGAGGGATATTGAAGGGTAAAACAAAAATGGGAATAAGTATTTTATACTTTATAGGGTCTATGAAGGATCTTTCGAGGTTGTTGCAAAGGGAATAGAAATTGACACACTACCTTCTGGTGGAGGGTATACAAAGAAGAAAAAAACACTAAGGAAAGTAGTAAAGTCGGACAGGGCCGACTATGTTATACCCTTCGCCACTTTGGGTATATTCTACATATATCTCCTAACAAATGTCGCCATTTCGAAGGAACAATGACATGAAATTGAACGAACTGGAATATTTGATCTTTATGCCTTTCTGGTTCGAATTAGGCCAAACTTGATACACGCTATTCGGTAGGCCACACTCTTCAAAATTTAAACTTAATTAGACACCCGTTTGAAATCTATTTCTGAATGCTGTGTCTGCATCTGCACCAGTTGCAACAACACGCAATAACGTCATTCTAGTCTCAATTCGATAGGTTGTGCAAAATTTCGTGTCACTCGGTGCACCATTTATCTAAAATCCAAACGAAAATATATATAGGAGCTATATCTAAATCTGAACCGATTTTTTACGTAACTTTGCACACATCATTCTAGACTCAATTCAGTACGCTGTGCCAAATTTCCTGAAAATCGAAAGATATATAGGAGCTTTGGTGCACCATTTACATTAAATCGGACGAAAATATATATGGGAGCTATATCTAAATCTGAACAGATTTTTACGAAACTTAGCATACATCATTCTAGGCTTAATTGAGTATGCTGAGCCAAATATCGTGCAAATTGAAGGATATATAGGCACATTGGTGCAGGATTTACATAAAATCGGATGAAAATATATATATGGGAGCTAGATCTATATCTGGAGCGATTTTCGCGAAACTTAGCACACATCATTCTAGACTTAATTCAGTGCGCTGTGCCTAATTTCGTGCAAATCGAAAGATATATGGGGACTTTGGTGCACCATTTCTATAAAATCGGACGAAATTATATATGGGAGCTATATCTAAATTTGAACCGATTCTTATGAAACTTAGCACACACCATTTTAGACTCAATTTAGTAGGCTATGCCAAATTTCGTGCAAATCGAACGATAAATAAGGACTTTTGGGCACCATTTACATTAAATCGGACGAAAATATATATGGGAGCTATATCTAAACCTTAATCGATTTTCCCCAATTTCAATAGGGTTCGTCCTTGGGCCAAATGAATGAGCTGTGTCAAATTTCATTCAATTCGCATCATATATGCGACCTGTACTTTATTTACAATTTAACATGGAAAGACAGACGGACAGACAGACGGATATGCATAAATGGACTCAGAAAGTGATTCTATTCTACCGTGGATGGACTCAGAAAGTGATTCTATTCTATCGTGAATTTTTTTAATGAATATATTTTCAGGGCCCAATAGAAGGTGTGGATTTTCTAAAGAATATTTTTTTTTTTTCAAATAAAACAGTGACTGGTATTAGTATCACATGGCAGTACTCATCGTATTCATTATCGAACATTATAGCTATGTATTGCGGTGTCAAGATAATTGTTTTTTTTATCTACGAAGATAGGTGGTGGGCGTACAGAGCCAATTATAAAAGTATTTCTTATGTTCTGTTATCACTCACTTGTACCCAATGGGGCTTTACAATTAATTAGCTATTGACAATCTTTTGCATCAGAGAGGTCGGATTGAAAATTTTCGAAATCCAAAAAGTGCCTGAAATCTTCATGTGAATCTATAGAAACGTCCATATGTAGTTTAATAATTAAAAAAAAAAAATATTTCCAGCAAATCTTGACCGCAATGGTCCATCCGTTCAGTTGAATTTTGGCCTGTGCTCTTTAATGAGGAACGTCGGCCAAATTTCCATGACGGCACTGTGTTAGGTCGTTAGATTTCACTTCTTCTAGCTGCTGCATTTTGAATGGCTTCACATCTAAATGCTTCCGCGGCTCAACCGTCGTTATGTGGGGGCTATGTCCAAATGTGAACCAATATAGCCCATCTTCGAGCTTGATCTTAAGCTGCAGGCAAAAGACAAAATTCGTGATTACAGCAGATGAACATATGTAAATACACATAGATTTCATATACATACATATACTTTATAGGATCTGAAAAGGATAATTTCCCTAAGTCATAAACCAAAATTCGGACTTAATATACCACCCCACCACCCTCCATATCGTGGTGGATGGAACACAAAAAAAAACTTGTGTTATTTTTTTTTATTTTTGCGAAACATTTTGTTCTGATAAGCCTGCCAAGAAGTTTATAAGCCATGTTCGAATTGCCACTATTCGTCAGTTGGCAGCAGAATCTCGATCGGGACAGAATAATCGAAATGAAGGCAATTGTTCTATTCGCATTAGTAATCGTACAGATAATAACCGACAATGTGGCGGACGGCAAATTCGTTGCCTCCACAGCCCGAAACACCACCACCCACACTAAAGAACAGAACGTAAATAAATTCCAAATATTTAAAAGATTTTGTTTATTGACAATGACAATTTCAGAATACCAATGACTTAGTTCAAAAAATTGATGCCCTCTTGGCGGAGACGAAGGAGATAACTCAGAAGTAAGTATTTGGAATCGAAGTGATAAAAAAAGTGAAGAAAATTTAAAAACATCTTGATTTTTGTTCCCTGTCTTTATTCCAGAATTGATGATTTAACCAAAAGGTAAGGCAGTCACCCCATGATAAAATTTGATGGGACTCGAAGGGTATTTGGGAGATCACTAAATAATTTCAATGATAAAGAAAACTAAATATCCAATCCTTAACACGATTTGAATATTCTATATCAAAATATTATTCGCCTATTAATGATCACATTTGTTCTATTTCCAGGCAAGAGGAACTGGAAGGGAACATGGCAAAAATAGTGGAGCAACAAATGTCATCGATGAATGTCACCCTGAAGGAGAAGTATGTATGAAACTATTTTGAGAGATCAATGTTTTTTATGGGCTTACAGTAACTAGGCTTATGACTTTTCCTGCTTCAAGAAATATTTTCACAAAATTACAGCCATGCTAAAATCCAGCCAAAGACTTCAAAATATCGATCGATCGATCGATAGTCTTATAACGGAAAAATGAACTCCCCACCAAAAATTATTAATAGGGGTAGTCCCCATATAACCCCCTTTTTATACCCTTCACCACACTGTGGTACAGGGTATTATGTCTTTGTGCATATGTTTGTAACAGGCAAAAGGAAACGAGATAGACACATGGTTTCCTTTAAGAATTTGCATAGAATCACATTCTGAGTCGAATCGAGTAGATGTTAAATTGTAAACAAAATACAGGTCGCATTTATCCAGATTTACATATTTTTGTCCGATTCATATAGATGTTAAATCAAACTGACATAGATTGACGAATGACATGCGAATGGATTGATTGAAGTCTGTTCACCGATCACATTTTCAATTATCATTCGCTGTCAAGAGTCTGCATCATTTCGGAGTTGTCTGCTAATCGAAGTTTGTTTTCAATATTTTTTTATACTCTTCACTACACTGTGGTACAGGGTATTATGTCTTTGTGCATATGTTTGTAACAGGCAAAAGGAAACGAGATAGACACATGGTTCCTTTTGAGAATATGCATAGAATCACTTTCTAAGTCGATTTATGCATGTCCGTCCGTCCGTCCGTCTGTCTGTCTATCCATGTTAAATTGTAAACAAAGCACAGGTCGCATTTATGATCCGAATTGGATGAAATTTGACATAGGTCACTTATTCGGCCCAAGGACGAACCCTATTGAAATTGGGAAAAATCGGTTCAGATTTAGATATAGCTCTCATATATATATATATATATTTAACCGATTTAATGTAAACGGTCTCTACATATCTTTCGATTTGCACAAAATTTGGTACAGCCTTATCATTTAGGTCTATATTGATGTCTGCCAAGTTTCGTGAAAATCGGTCCAGATTTAGATATAGCTCCCATATATAGTTTCCTCCGATTTCATGTAAATGATGCACCAAAGTCCCTATATATTTTCGATTTGCACGAAATTTGGCATATCGTACTGAATTGAGCCTAGAATGATGTCTGCCAAGTTTCGTGAAAATCGGTCCAGATTTCTATATAGCTCCTATATATAATTTCGTCCGATTTCATGTAAATGGTGCACCAAAGTCGATATATATCTTTCGATTTGCACGAAATTTGGCATAACGTACTGAATTGAGCCTTGTTTCGTGAAAATTGGTCCAGATTTAAATATAGCTCCCTTTTATTATAGATTGATTTTAAGTAATTGACGCACTAAGGAACCAATAGGCTGATAGGAACAAAACGTTCTGAAATTAGTATAACCTAACCTGTGATAAGTTTGTTTGAAATCGCTTAATATTTGGATAGAGCTTCCATATATATTTTCGCCCGATTCCAAGTAAATTGGGCATTAAACTCCTCATGTTAGTCAGATTAACATCAAATTTTGCACAACTTACAAAATTGAGCATAGATTTACGTAGTTGCGTTTTGTTATATTTGTTTGAAGTCGATTTACATACGTTATGGATAGATCTAGGTAGATTCACATTTAGATAAATATCACATATTTTATTTCAACCAATTTCATGTTAATAGTCCTGTTTAATATACCCATAGTGGTGAAGGGTATCATATAGTCGGCCCCGTCCGACTTTACTACTTTCCTTACTGTTTTTTTTTTCTAGAGACAACCTTGAGATTTTGCGAAATTGGACAACAATTGCCAGACGCATGGACGGCTCTGTTAATTTTTACCGAGGTTGGAATGAATATAAATTTGGTTTCGGCAATCCACCTCACGGCGAATTCTTTATTGGCCTAAAGAGATTGCATGAATTGACGACAGCCGTTCCAAACATCGAACTTAAAGTGATTTTAAGAGATTGGAAGGGTGAAGAACGTTACGCTCACTATGATGGCTTTCGAGTTGGAAATGAAACCGAGAAATATAAACTCAAGGCACTAGGCAAATACAGTGGCACTGCTGGTGATTCCTTGTCATCTCACAAAGGTGTGAAGTTTTCTACCTTCGATGAGGATAATGATAAAAATGGTGCTGATTGTGCCAAGTCTCGGAGTGGTGCTTGGTGGTTTTATAATTGTTCGTACAGGTATAGCAATCATTTTCAATTACATATTATTTTTTGTTTTGTTTTTCAATTTATTTTCCTAATTTTTCTTTGCAGTCATCTATTTGGACCATATAGAAAAGGAAAGAATATAAATTCAGTTGGCATTGATTGGTATCATTGGAAATATACTCATGATTATTCATTTAAATATGCCGAAATGCTCATTAGAGCAAAACGGGCATAATTATATATTTTTTAATGTTTCTAATATTGAATATTGAAAATAAATAAAAATATGACAATTTATTTTGACTTTCTCAGTCTGCTTGCAAAAAATAACAACAATATTTCCATTTTTTGTTTATTTTATAAGAAAGGATGAATTTATTCATCAACATTTTGATACTATCAAAGTAATTACAGCGGGGTATAATGCACTTCTGTCCAAGGGGGTTTACCAAATTCAGATCCAAATTTGTTACAGGTTTGTTTTAGATTGAGGAAGCCAAATAATGAAATTCACCTATGGAATTCAGGTATTTTAAAAAAAAATTTTGAGGTAAGTATACTTAAAAGAAATGTAAAAAATTAAAAACTTACTTTGTTTATTGATATCAAAAAAATTGAAGAAATTGGCCATGTTTGAAAATCTTGATTACATTTTGTAAAATAATATATGTATATAAATTAATGGGTCTTGGAAATATATTGAAACCCATGTAAAAACTTCGTTTAGTTCGGTCAGGCTGAACATTTTATACTCTACACAATATGCCTTAAATCGGTTGGGATCTTATGTTAAAGCAGAGACCTATATTGCCTAATTTCGGTATAAATATATGAAAGCCGTCAGGAATCCTTTGTTACAAATTACAGCCATGTCGGTGGGGGGAAATCCAGCCAAAGCCTTCAAAATATCGAAAATGAATCGGTACCGTTATATGGGAGCTATACCAGAACGTGGAATGATATTGATTTTTTATTGATGGGAAGATTTGAAACCCCATTAGAAGCTGAAATAAACAAATTAGAGCCAATTGCATTGAAAAATACACCCACAATGCGGAATAAAGGGGGATGTACCATTATATGGATATACTTTCCGAAATCATGAGTCGTTACTGATAATTTTTTGATGGTTGACAACTCAAAAATCATCAAAAAAATATAAAATTACAGCCAATTTGGTTGAAAAAATGTGCTAAAACCCTTCAAAATACCGAACATTTGGGGTACCCTTATATGGGGGCTATACTAAAAATTTAATCAATTTTGATATTTTTTGGTAGGAAGATGTATTGCCCAATGAGAACCCTAAATATTAAATTGCTGCTGTTTAGGTGGAAAAACGTGACCAAAAAATCCCCAAAATACCGAATATTTGGGAATACCCTTTTATGGGGCCAATTCTAAAAATCGCATCAATTTTGATCATTTTTGGTAGGAAGATGTATTACTCAATGAGAACCCAAAATACCAAATAACAGCTGTTTCGGTTGAAAAACGTGTCCAAGCTCCGCAAAATACCGAATATATTTATTTTTTTGGTACCCTTATATGGGGGATACCCCGAAACATTAGCCTATATTGATAATTTTTGGTTGAAAAAATTTTCTTTCAAATGAGAATCGAAAATATAAAGATCCCCAAAATACCGAATAATGAGAGGTGCCGCTCTGTAGGGAGTGGACCCTTGAATCACACACCTAATACCAAAAATGTATAGATCACAAAAATTACTGCCCCGCTTTATTGAGAATTGTCTAAAAAAGGAAATCTTGGAAAAAAAGTCCCAAAAAGTCCCCTTTCATGATGGGCTAGAGGGTTAATGTGTTCCACAAAAATATTAAGCCTAATGTTAGTAGAAATATCGCCGAACACACCTTATACCTGAAATGTACACAACAAAAGAATTTCCCTGAAGATTCATTGATAATTGATAAAGAAGTCCCAATAGATCCCCCTAAATGAAACGCTACAGGGTTAATTATGTCGACACAAATATTCACCATAATGTTAGTAATAATATTGCGGAACACACCCAATACCCAAAATTAATAGATCACAACAATTCATGCCTTCTTTATATGAGAATTGAAAAAAAATGTAAATCTGGAAAGAAGCCACAAAAGGTCTCCATTAAATGAAGTGCTAGAGAGTTAATATGTTCAACATAAATATTCCCCAAAATGTCATAGAAAATATTGTCGAACACACCTTATACCTAAAATGTACACAACAAAAGAATTTCCCTGAAGATTCATTGATAATTGAACAAAAAGTGAGCAAAAAAGAGGAAACTAGTTTAAAGAAGTCCCAAAAGATACCCTTAAATGAAACGCTACAGGATTAATTATGTCCACAAAAATATTCCCCATAATGTTAGTAATAATATTGCGGAACACATCTTATACCTAAAATTTACACAACAAAAGAGTTCCCTTTGAAGATTCATTGATAATTGAAGAACAAGCAATCAACAGGGGAAATATTTTAAAGAAGTTCCGAAACGGTCGCCTTAATTGAAACGCTAGAGGGTTAATTAGTTGGGCAAAAATATTCTCCATAATGTTGTTAGAAATATTGCCGAACACACCTAATACCGAAAATGTATAGATCAAACCAATGAAGAGAAACAAAACAAAAATGACTGGACCTTGAGAATTTTTAAAATTTAAAGTCATTCTTAATTGTGGCCGATGTTGTAGTTGTTGATGTTGTTGTGCATCGATAAGAACCAATGCATAAATTCTGAGATTCCAAAAAAGCCAACAACAACTGTTGTACAACACATAAATATTTATAGAAGAAAATATTTTCCCAGTTCAAAATTCGTATTCCATAATAATACGGGTTGGTCAGCCATCAATGGGCAGCTGCAATTCGACCGAAGAGTCTTGTTTTCGCACTCCCATGGATGGATGATAAACCAATGGAGTAAACAAATATTTTTATGCCCTCCCCTACAACATGGAGTGTATATTAAATTTCTCATTCCATTTGCCAACACCTTGATGTAATTATTTCCGATCCTATCCTAAGTATACATATATATTCCTGATCAAAATAGAATTCCATGTGGATTTAGTCATGTGCGTCTGTTCAAATCTCGATGGAGCCGGATCAATATTTAAGATAGAGCTTTGATATTTTGCACATATATTGCTACTGGTCGTATGATGTTTGGTATTGGAAATGCGATATATCAGATCATATTTTGGTATAGCCCCCATATAACAGGACCTCCCACAATATTCGTGTTTTTTTTTTGAGGCTTTTGGGTACGTTTTTCAGCTGTAATTTGATATTTTGGGTAGAAAATCTTCCAACAAAGCCTATTTTATTATTGATCCACTTTTTAGGATGGCCTTCAAAGAGCGGTATCCCCGATATTCGGTATTTTGAAACGTTTTTGGGCACATTTTTTAATAGAATTGGTTCTTAATTGATATTCTCAAGTAGCAAGCAAAATCTCCCCCACCAATTCTTAACAAAATGAGCTGCAATTTGGAATATCTTCCCGCTAAAAATTATCATAATTGGGTTTCTTCTTAGAGTAACCCACCCTCTACATAACACTGCTTCGCAAATTTCAATATTTTGGGGAGTGTGAGCAGGAGTTTCAACCCAATTGTCGGTAATTTTATATTTTGAATGATCTTCGAAGAAAAAAATCTTCCTACCAAAAATTCTCAATATTATCGGAAGTTTCCGGGTAGCCCCCATACAATGGTACCCTACATTTTTCGGTGTTTTGTCGGGGGGGATTGGACTGTAATTGACTGTAATTGGATTTTTCAGCTTCTCATGGGGTGTCACATCTCACTACCGAAAATTGTAAATGTTGGTTTAGTTTTTGGTCCCGCCCATTATTGGGTATTTTGAAGGCTTGGGCTGCATTTTCACATCGCTGTGGTTGCAATTTGGTACCAAAAGGTTCTTGAAGGTCTATAATTTGACATGGCCCCACATATACTGGTAGATCTCCTTTTGTCGTAGTTTTGAAGGTTTTAAATGCATTTTTTTCATCGAAGTGGCAATAATTTGCCACTGGAGGAGGGATATTGAAGGGTAAAACAAAAATGGGAATAAGAATTTTATACATTATAGGGTCTACAACGGATCCTTCGAGGTTGTTGCAAACGGAATAACAAATTGAAACATTACCGTTTGGTGGAGGGAATACAAATAAAAAAAAACAGTAAGGAAAGTAGTAAAGTCGGACGGGGCCGACTATATGATACCCTTCACCACTATGGGTATATTAAACAGGACCATTAACATGAAATTGGATGAAATAATATATATGATATTTATCTAAATGTGAATCTACCTAGATCTATCCATAAACATGTCATTCGTTTGTTACAATGGGACAAAGATATGTAAATCGACTTCAAACAAATATTAATAGGTCATACTTCTAGAAAACGCAACTACGTAATTCTATGCTCAATTTTGTACGTTGTGCAAACTTTGATGTCAATCTGACTAACATGAGGAGTGTGATGCCCAATTTACTTGAAATCGGGCGAAAATATATATGGAAGCTCTATCCAAATATTAAGCGATTTCAAACAAACTTGTCACAGGTTAGGTTATACTAATTTTAGAACGTTTTGTTCCTATCAGCCTATTGGTTTCTTGGTTCGTCACTTAAAATCAATCTATAATAAAAGGGAGCTATATCTAAATCTGGACCGATTTTCACGAAACTTTACAGACATCATTCTAGGCTCAATTCAGTACGTTATGCCAAATTTCGTGCAAATCGAAAGATATATAGGGACTTTGGGGCACCATTTACATGAAATCGGACGAAACTATATATGGGAGCTATATATAAATCTGGACCGATTTTCTCGAAACTTGGCAGACATCATTCTAGGCTCAATTCAATACGTTATGCCAAATTTCGTGCAAATCGGAAGATATATAGGGACTTTGGGGCACCATTTACGTGAAATCGGACGAAACTATATATGGGAGCTATATCTCAATCTGGACCGATTTTCTCGAAACTTGGCAGACATCACTCTAGGCTTAATTCAATACGTTATGCCAAATTTCGTGCAAATCGAAAGATATATAGGGACTTTGGGGCACCATTTACATGAAATCGGACGAAACTATATATGGGAGCTATATCTAAATCTTGACCGATTTTCACGAAACTTGGCATACATCATTCTAGACCTAAATGATTAGGCTGTACCAAATTTCGTGCAAATCGATGGATATATA